TTTCCATTAAGGTTGTCAGAATTAAAAGCCTCGAGCAGCCAATACTCAATAAATGAATATTAGTTTCTCCTTGAATGAATGAATGACTGAAGCTGCCTTTCGTGGAGGAAATTAATTAATAGAACAGAAATTGGAAACTTCAAAGAAAAAGATGGGACCTTTGTAAGGGCCCTCAGTGGGGCCTAGGTGGCTCAGTCAGTTGAGCATCTGACTCTTGATTTTGGCTCAGGTTGCACTGGCAGTACAGAGCCTGCTTGGGATTCTCTCTCCTTCTCTCTCTCAAAATAAATAAATGAACATTAAAAAAAAAAAAAAAGAATGTTGAAAGGGCTCTCAACTGTACGTTGAAGGGTTTAAATTTAATACAATGAGGTCATAGAGGCATGGAGTGATTGAAGTGGGTTTCAGAGCTGACTATTCTGGCACCAGGATGAAGAAGACTCTTGTCACAAAGGCATGCCCTGAACCCATCCTGGGTGGGAGATGATTCAGACTTAGGCCAGAGTGATGGTCTGTGAATTGGAAGGAGGGCCCGACTACCAGGCAGGGAGTCTTCCCGTGTGGTGTTGACAACCCGAGTCACCTGCATCTCTAAGTCTCAAATTATGGAGCCATAACCCTAACTTTGCTCCAAAAGCAGTTTAGAATGTGCTCAATTACAAAAATTAACATACAGATGAAGATGCCTAGAAGATAAAGCCTGTAAGAAAATAAACAGACTTCTGAGCCTTTATTTTTTATGTAGGCTTCACACCCAGCACAGAGCCCGATGTGAAGCCTGAACTCAAGCCCTGAGATCAAGTGTCTGACACTTAACCGAATGAGCTACCCAGACACCCCAAGCCTTTATATTGTCCCTGTAATAGAGGGCTGTGTCGTGCTAAAAAAAAAAAAAAAAAAAAAAAAATCAAAGTGATACTTCCTGATTTCAAATATCTTTAAAGAAATACAACCTTCAGGGGCGCCTGGGTGGCTTAGTCGGTTAAGCGTCCGACTTTCGCTTAGGTCATGATCTCGCGGTTCGTGGGTTCGAGCCCCGCGTCGGGCTCTGTGCTGACTGCCAGCTCAGAGCCTGGAGCCTGTTTCAGTCTGTGACTCCCTCTCTCTCTCTGACCCTCCCCTGCTCATGCTGTCTCTCTCTCTCTCTCTCCTAGAAATAAATAAAAAATAAAAATAAAATAAAAAATAAAACCTTCAGTTATTTTGGCAGCAAAAATGGGATTATTCAACAATAGCAGAGAATCGCAATTTGGAACAGGCAAGCTACTGCAAAACTACAGGCAAGGCTGGAGAACAAAGGAGTAAAAGGCTCTTTTATNCTCTCTCTCTCTGACCCTCCCCTGCTCATGCTGTCTCTCTCTCTCTCTCTCTCCTAGAAATAAATAAAACATTAAAAAAAAAATTTAAAAAAAAAAAAAGAAAAAGAAATACAACCTTCACATATAAGCAAGCATGAGCTTTAAAACTAGCACTGAAAAAAATCTCAAACCATGAAAACCTGAACACCTTTTCTAAGTATAAACTCTTGAAATTTAAACTTCCTTCCTAGAGATCACTACAGCCAGGAATACATGGTATCTAGAAGACCTAATTAGGTCTCTATATCCTTCCTTTGCTAGATTCTTCCCAGGCAGGCTCAGTCTTGCCCTGTAATCTTGAAACCCAATCTTGACCTTAGATAGAGGGCATTAACTCTTTGCCTTTACTTCTTGTTCTGATGTCCTGAGCCAGATCTGATACCAGTTTCAATATGAACATTGACAAAAAGCCAATTAATCCTGTTTGGAAGAGTGTTCCAAATTCACTGGAGCACTAACTAGGGTAAAGGACAGCCAGTAAGAGCAACACTTCAGCTTCAGTCAAATCCACTTTTCTAGAACAATGTAATCAGACAAAGCTGTAGCTTCACCTTCAACCTATATGTTTTTAAAGTCATTTCAAACAAGAATATCGGTTCCATGGTTATCAGAGACTATTCAAAGAGAAGCTGAATGAGTGCCACTGCTCATAAGACCACAGGATTGATAGGGAGCTAAAGGTTTTCGGGGGGCTCTTCCTCCCTAAGCAGAATCTGCTTCGATGTCCACGACAGCTAAGCACCCAGCCCAGCCTGAACGCCACCAGGAAGAGGGAAACGTTTCTTGCGGACAATGCCTTTTATCAGCAACTCCAAATCGATACCAAGTCTTCCGACACCTGCCTCCTTGCCACTTTCCCCCAATGGTCCTGTTTCTGTCCTCTGGAGGCAGACAGAATAACAGCAGTTCCCTTCCACATAACTTCCCTTCTGATGAATCCCATCCCTGTCACATGCTCCCTAAAGATTCTCTTTTCCTGGATAATCATCTCAGACATGCTGAATTCCTATCTCATCACATCGCTTCCGATCTCTCCTTCCCTTTCTCCCGCCACCACTGGGGGCCTACGTGTTCAAGACCTCTCTGAAAGAGGAGTATCCAGATTCTGTTTATATTTCTGCCATCATCGGAACACGACCATACAGTGGTTTCCTGCTTCAATTTGGGCAAAATTCTGTGTCCTTACAGGTTAATATTGTGCTGATTTCCTTAGCAGCCTCCTCATCCTATTAAATCATTTTTTTTCTTCCATGAAAGTTGTCAACTTGGCGTACATTAGGAATGCAACTGATTTCATCCTACTTGACCTTAATTAATATTGACTGGTTGACTAATTTTATTAAATTTTATTTGTAAGTTTTAGACTCACATTCCAGCCTACCTGGGACTTTCTAGACATTGAGTCTGTCACCAAAAAACCTTTACTGGCTTTGTGACATTAATAAGTATGACAAACATGCTTTCCATGTTGCCATCCAAGTCAGTAACAGAAACATGAAACAAGGCCAAGGACGACCACTAGTAATTTTTCTCCAGTTGGAGGCAAATTTGAGGCAAAGTTATTTAAAAAGCTATGAATCTGTCCATCACCCTGACTTACCTGAACCATGCCCACCAGAGAGGAGCAGGGTGGTCTGACTCTCTTCATGGTCATTGTTACCCTCTTGCCCACTCTCAGACCTGGTTTGCTCCTATGGTCACCTTCTCTTCATAAGAGGTCAAGAGCTCTGTATGATACCTGAGTCTCTTCATAACAGCTGTGCTATATGCTGTCTTCCTCAAACAAATTCAAAATTTTCCCTGGAGAGAAATACATGTAGGCAGAGGTAGAGATAGAGAGATATAGAATAGAGATAGAGATAATGTGTCTTTCACAGAGAAAGGAAGCAAAAGAAAACAAACAAAAAAATATTTTTAGTTCAGCTACATGCCTGAGATGTAAACCATTTTGATCAAGGAAAAACTCTGAAATTTGACCAGGAAGCAATGAGTTGAAAACGGAGTGAACTTTCTGTGGAGTCAACGGTGCCTATTCTGTTTGTGAAGGGTAGGATATGTTTGAAATCATTTCTAGTCTTTTATGTAGTTACCACAATACTTCTTTTCGTTCTTGAAAGCATATCCTTCGGTATATTACATGTAATCTCTGTGTCTCAGACCTTTCTAGCAAGGGGGTTACTTATTGATCACATTCACATTAATATACACTCTTTCTCTGACTCTAGCAGCTACCATTATTGTAGGATTTTTCACTCCCTTTTTTACTCTTTCCAGTTCTTTCTAGAAGTTTCCTGTGAATTTATGAGCCAGTTCTTCAGCTTGTTTCAGCAACTTGTTCACTCAGCCAGGACAGCTAATATTGTACCTGCCTCTGTGCTGAGCCCCTTGCTGTTGGTAGAACTGTGGAAAGTGGAACCCCAATTATCCCATAAGACCATAACCACACACTCACTTCCTCTCCCTTGACAAATTCAGTTAACCCTGGTCACCAGATAGAGGGTCCTTGGCTCCCAACATCTCATAGTCTATAAATTTGTTTCCATGAATTTGGCTTTTTTTTTTAGATTCCACATATAAGTGATAATACACAGTATTTGTCTTTCTCTGTCTGACCTATTTCACTTAGCATAATGCCCTAAAGTTCCATCCATGTTGTTGTAAATAGCAAGCTTTCTTTCTTTTTTTAAAAAAATTTTTAATGTTTATTTATTTTTGAGAGAGAGATGGAGAGCACACATGCAAGTGGGAGAGGAGCAGAGAGAGAGGGAGACTGAGGCTCTGAACTAAACAGCAAGCTGTGTGCTGACAGCAGAGAGACTGATGCGGGACTTGAATTCACAAACCGTGAGATCATGACCTGAGCTGAAGTCGAATGCTTAACCAACTAAGCCACCCAGGCACCCCCTTCCTTTCTTTCTTTCTTTCTTTCTTTCTTTCTTTCTTTCTTTCTTTCTTTCTTTCTTTTCTTTCTTTTTCTTTCTTTCTTTCTTTTTCTTTTTTTCTTGTTTTATGTTTATTTATTTGTTTTGAGAGAGAGAGAGGGAGGAAGAGAGTGAGAGAGCTAGAGAGAGGCAGAGAGAGAGGGAGACACAGAATCCCAAGCAGGCTCCACACTGTCAGCTCAGAGCCCAGTACAGGTCTCAATCCCACAAACTGCAATATCATGACCTGGGCCAAAATCAAGAGTCAGATGCTTAACCGACTGAGCCACCCATGCACATGAGATCTCCTCCTTTCTGATGGCTGAATAATATTCCATTATCTTGATGAAGAAATAGGCTTTTTATTTGACAATGAGAACACGGTAATTTATTGAGGTTCCTTCTTCCTTTGGTTGCTAAGAAAGTCAAGATAAGTTTTGTCCTCAACTACAGCAATTATTCTTAGCCTAGAACTTCTAGTAAGACCATTATACCTCCCATTTTATTACATGACTCATATTCACTTAATCTTTATTCTAATGAGCCTATCTTAACTCTGTTTTATTATATGCTGTTCTATCTTTATGGGAGGTAGGTATATTATTTAGAACTCTTTGGCTTCAAGTGACAGGAAACTAATTCAAACTACATTGGAGGGAAAAAAGATTAGGTTTAGAATGAAACAGCTTATTCTAAACCCAGTTTTAAATTCTTGAACCAAGCACTAGCTTTAGCAACACATATACCAAAATTGGAACGATATAGAGATTAGCAGAGCCCCTGCACAAGGATGACACACAAATCCATGAAGCATTCCATAAAATACAATAAAATAAAATTTTTTAATAAAATTCCCATACCAAAATAACACTAATACAAATGAAATTTACTGTAATTGTTTTTTTTTAAGTTCATTTATTTATTTTGAGAGACAGAAAGTGAGCATGTGTGCACATGAGCAGGGAAGGGCAGAGAGAGAGAGAGAGAGAGAGAGAGAGAGAGAATCCTAAGTAGGCTCCATGCTCTGCGCTGAGCCCAACAAGGGGATCAGTCTCACAACTGTGAAATCATGACCTGAGATGAAATCAAGGGTCATACGCTTAACTGACTGAGCCATCCAGGCACCCCTGTAATCGTTTTTTTTTTTTTTTAACTCCATAGTTTATATGTGATGGATCAACAAATATATTGTTTATTCTTATTAGAATACATTAACATTCTTTCACTTACTTTTCATTGATTAACATTTTCTGTCCAGCTTTATGATAACTATTCCAAAGAAGATGGAATAATTTTAAACATTCCTCTCCAGGGCACCTGGGTGGTTCAGTTGGTTAAACGCCTGACTCTGAATCTCAGCTCAGCTCTTGATCTCAGGGTAGTGAGTTCAGGATCCATACTGGGCTCCATGCTAGGCATGAAGCCTAGTTAAAAAAAACTAAATCAATAAAAATAAACATCCTCCTTAAGGAATTTGTGATCTAAATGAGATCATCACACGTTTAGAAATAAATGCATAGCTTAATCATTTACTGTACTTGATTAATTGGAACTTTCCAGAGAAACAGACCAAATAAGATAGATAGATAGATAGATAGATAGATAAAAGGATTGAAAGAGAAAAAAGATTTATTTTAAGAAATTGGTTCATGTGATTATGATAGCAACAGATGGGAGACCCAGGAAAGAGTTGATGTTGCAGCTTGAGTCTGAAAGCAGTCAGAAGACTCTTCCTTTGAAGATGTCAGCCATTTTTCCCTAAAGGCCTTCAACTGATCAGATGAGGCCCACCCATATTATGAAGCCATATAATCTATTTTACTCAAAGTCTACTTATTTAAATGTTAACTCATCTGAAAAGTACCTTCACAATGACATCTAGACTAGTGTTTGACCAAATGTCTTGGTACTGCGGCATAGCTAAGTTGGAAAAGAAATTAATTATCACATGTACTTTAAGAGCAACTAGACTGAGAGTATAATTGGTATCTTATGGATCTAGTTTATTCCAATATGTCTAGCACTGCCTTGCAAATAATAAATGCTCAATAAATATTTGTTGAATCATCAAATTAGAAGTTATATTATCTCTATCATGAGAGCCAAGCTAAAATTTTTTCTGTGAGTTCTCTGAGTTCATTAAGATCTCAGGTGGAGGCACCTGCCTGTCTCAGTTAGTAGAGCATACAACTCTTGATCTCACACTTGTGAGTTTGAGCCCCACATTGGGCATAGAGATTACTTAAAACATAAAATCTTAAAAAAAAAAATCTCACAGGGTAGCTCAGTTGGTTAAGCATGTGACTCTTGATTTCAGCTCAGGTCATGATCTCAAGGCTCATGGATGGAGCCCCACGTCAGGCTCCACACTCACAGCGCAGAGCTTGCTTGGGATCTCTCTCTTCCTCTCTCCTGCCCCCCTCCCCCCCCACTCATGCTCTTTCTCTCTCCCAAAATAAATAAATAAACATTAAAAACAATCTCAGGTGGAAATTTATTTTAATTTATCCCACATAGGACTTGGTGCACTTATCTAATCTGATGACCTAAGTCGTTCATCAATTCTGGAAAAATTCTCAGTCATTATCACTTCAAATATTGTCTCTCCTCCATTATTTATATTTTCTGCATTATCTATATCTATATAGATGTAATCTATATCCATATTCCATCCGTTGATGTAATATCCATGTGTACCAGTAAGTCATTTCTTTTTGTTACCAAGTAATATTCCATTGTTTGGATATACCACACTTAATTTATCACTTCATCTGTTGATGGACTTCTGGATTCTTTGCACATTTTTGTTATTAGGAAAATGATGTTGTGAACATCTGTGTACAGGTTTTTGTATGGACATATGTTTTCCTATCTCTCGAGTATATAACTAAGAGAGGAATCGCAAGGTCATGTGGTTACTCTATGTTCAGCCCTTTGAGAAATTGCTAGATTGTTTTCCAAAGCAGCTGCCCTACTGTATATCACAATCATATACTTGCTCTCCTTTTCGGTGATATAAATTCTTTCTTTTATGTATGTAATGCTCAGATATAGTTACTTTGTAGTCCTTTTCAGATTGGTGTTCAATTACTTCCATTCCTTGGGGTTGCTAGTCTTTCTGGGTATTATTCTTATTCATGCTAGAGTATTTCCTTGGGTACTGTATATTGGTTTGTGAGCTCATCATTACTAGATCTTTCACTATGACAACTAGCATGTGGGACTATACCTCCTGTCAGGCACCCAGAGGAATCAATAACTTAGCACCATTTTTATGTTAATTTGTCAATTTAGGACATTCCTATACTATGAAAATCATAGAAATTCCAAGTCCACGCCCCCAGGAGATATAAGCTGAGAATCCCAATTTTTGAGAGTAGATGTTCTTTCTTTCTTTCACCCACAATGGCGCAGGTAGAGACAGTTTTCATGTTATCTCACTGTGTTAGGAGAATATTTTTTTCTAGCAAAAAAATGTCCCAGCTTTATTTAGAATGCTGTCTTAACTCCCTACTTCCCATAGACCTAAGGATTCATTTTCTTTCCCTATGTGGGTATTAAAATGAAAACCTCAGTATGGTGGTTAATTTTATATGTCAACTTGACTAGGCTCAGGGATGCCAAAATAGCTAGTAAAACATTATTTCTGGTTGTGTGAGAACGTGTTTCCAGAAGAGATTAGGATTTGAATTGGTAGACTGAGTAAAGAAGATTGCCCTCACCAGTGAGGGTGGGCATCATTCAATACATTAAGGGGCTGGATAGAAGAAAAAGATGGAGGAAGGACAAATTGACTCTCTGCATTTGAGCTGGGATATGTATCTTTTTGTGCCCTCAGACGTCAGTGCTACTGGTTCTCAGGCCTTTAGACTCGGAGTGAGTTATACCACCCACTTTTACGGTTCACCAGTTTGCAGATGGCAGACTGTGGCACTTCTCAGTCTCCGTAATCATGTGAGCCAATTTGTATAATAAATCTCCTCTTTTTTTAAGCGTTTCATTTATTTTTGAGAGAGAGTAGAAATTGGGGAGGGGCAGAGTGAGAGGGGGACAGAGGATCCGATTTCGGCTCTGCCGCCAACAGCAGAGAACCCCATGTGGGGCTCAAACTCACTCAACGTCAGGCAGGACCTGAGCTGAAGTCGGATGCTTAACCAACTGAGCCACCCAGGTGCCCCTAATAAATCTCTTCTTATATGGATATCTGTATATATCCTATTGATTGTTTCCCCACAGAACCTTGACTGACACACCTAGCTATTACTCACAGGTAATATGCTCCTCCAGAGCTGATAAGACAACAACTTACAAATGCATCCCTCTTCAGTCATGATACATAAGAACATTTTTCTTCCAAACTCAAATATGCATTTAGACTTTACTGCTGTTATTGTATATTATCCTGTATTTCTTACCGTTTGTGGTGTATTTTCAGCACTAGTTTTGTCCACTGCTTTTTGGAAGTGAAAAATTTCTACAACTAATATTACAGACTTTTACTATTCCCTTTTCATAGATGAGGAATCAGAGGCATGGGAAATCTAAGGAATTTTTCTTAGATCATACACCAAGACAATGGCATTTCCAGAATTTAAATCTGTGAAATCTTTAAAATAGAGCCGTGAGCTCTATGACAATATGTGGTATTATCCCATTATAATACTGATAAATAATTATGCGCATTATCTAATCATATGATTTAGTACTAAAGTACCCAAGTCTGTGGTAAAGGGAATGAGAGATTATTTTAACTTTGTTCTTTATCTGGTTTCCCTCCTAGCAGCAAAAAATATGCCTCAGTTCTAGACCTCATTCTTCACATCACATTCCTCCAGAAGATAGAGTCCTTTCCAGTAGAGCTGAGAGAAAGCAAGGAATGCCTCCTTCCCAGAACCCCTAGTAAATGAATACTAGCACCTCACTGGCTCTGATTATGTTATGGGGGTGTCAATCCTTAAACTAATCATGGTGATTTGGGCAAAGGGATATAGTGATTGCTTTAACCCAATCTGGGCCTACATCTAGAACACTGAATAGAGTCAATCCCACTAAAACCAGTGACAAATAATAGGGGAGGAGCCCTCTCAAAAGATGTTTGGTGAAATATTCCCCGAAGTGGAAGAATGAATGCTTGGTAGCCAGGGACATTATGTAAGCAGGGAAGATAAGGAGGGCATTCCAGTCATAAGCAAAGTGTGAAGTGATCATGATAGAGGGAATGTTAAAAAGAGCATGCAGTATATATTTTTTTACTGTTATAATACAGGAACATCGTACAGAGCCAAGCTAAAAATTTTTTCTTCCTAAAGAGAGTATATTTTGTTCTGAGACCAAAAACGTGCTTCAGAGCTACAGTCTCTGGGATCACAATCATTCCTCATCCTTGATTTACTACAATCAGACTCTCTTCTCAGCCCTCCGTGGAAATGGTTTCTAACCCCTAATCAAGGCCTCCCCAAGGCTGAGAAAGGTACGAACACCAGAGCCTTAGCCAACGGGGAGCAAGAGCATAGGATCACTGTATAAAAAGGAGTCTCCCCAGGTGGCAGCCTTCCATGACCGCAGAGGTAGAAGCAGTGTGAAGAAAGGGCCAATGTGTCATTACGTTTATAGCCATGATGAGATCATGAGCAAAACGGCAAAAAAGGAATCCGAATGGGGAGAACTTTTTAATGCAGTGATTCTGCCCTCCTCCCACCTCTGTCCCCCACCCCTGCTTCACCAACGCCAGCCCCCAGCTTAGGCGTGTCTTCAGACTTGTACCATCTGATGGTGGAAACTAGCCAACTGTGAGCATGTTTTCATCTGCTGAGGATCTGAGTATA